ATTATGCCGGGATTAAAAGCGTGTTGCTGTTATATTTGAATAGAGTTATCCGCTAAAATAGTTCAATTCAACTCATTAAAGCTCGAGCTCGACTCGCTTATATATTTAAACGATCAAAACTGAAACATCTAATCGAGTTTGTCTATCAAATAAATCAAGTCGAACGACCACGCGATCAATTCAATTAGATTTTTGGGATTTTTGTGGTTTATTGAATGAGTGCAAAAAAGTTTATATGAGTTGAACTCGATTTCACAATTTTGTTTGTTTATTAAACAAGGTGAGGCGCACCCACTGATGCACTATATTGTTTATTAAATAAGCACAATTTTGAACATGAAATACTCGGCTCAAATTACCTACCTAGATAACTAGATTCATGTATATATATAGAAGTCAATGTATAAAAATAATTTTTAAATATTTAATATAAGTTACATGAAGCGCATAGTCAATAATATTAAAATATTAATTTTGCATTGATAAAATAAAAATATCAATTATTATACATTCTAGTTTTGTTAATAATATTAAAATATTAGTTTTGCATTGATAAAATAAAAATATCAATTATTATACATTCTAGTTTTGTTTTATTTGTAGATGACCCTAACTAAAACTTGTAAACTACTAACTACTCTTTTATACATATAATAAATCATCATTTGTAACTGATTTATTATTTTTCTATAATATTACAAAAGTAACTTTCCTCTTGTACTTGAATTTAATTAGATAAATAAATAATTTATTAAAAAGACTACTATGTAATGGTGTAATAGTCTGTCATTCTTGCTATATGATATGTCATTTGAAATTTCATATACGCACTCAAACATCATTTATTTAAAAATCAATGAATATGTAAACTAAATTGTGAAATCCATAAATTTGTTTACATACTAAATATTTTTATGAAAGTCTATCACAATCAAATATTGTCTTGGATACAATAATTCAAATGAACAGTGGAATTAATTTAATTGAATAACAAAATATAACCATGAAAACAAGACGAAAAAAGTCATATAGTAAGCTAAAACTAAAAGTGAAAAGGAATTTAAACTATGTTTAAGTATATAATTCATTTGTTTAATCTAAAAGTTTATTTTACTTTATGCTAAAATAAGATTAACATAAGGCAAATTGAATATAGCATGAACTAAAATATTGTTAGCTAGTATAAATTTAGTATTAGCTAAAAATTAATACCGGGTTGGAGTCCACCCCAGTCTTTGGGGTGGCTCCGCCCCTGACTGAAAATCTAATGAGAATATATCTCACAAAAGTTCCTAATACATATTCCAATGTTGTAACTTTCGTTGGAAAATATCCAATGGATATTCCAGCGGAAGTCAACACTAAAATATTTCGTTGAAGCTAAACTTTTATATTAGATGAAATTTGATGATTTTGATAATTTTTTTAGCAATATATTATTTTTGGAATTTTCGCTCAAATATTCAGTTTCTGTTAAAATTATTTTTCTCGCCAATAATTCCAACGGTTGAAAAAGTACCGATAGAATCCTCATAATTCTACATAAATTCTAAAGCAAAAACATTTCAATAGAAACTATTTGATGATTTTGAGATATTGGATCAATTATCACGTGAGAAACTATTTTGATCCAGGAAAACTTCAACATGGAAATACTTCAATCGTTCAATATTTTAAACTATAATTATAAAAAGTTAGAATTGATGCAAGTTTGACTTTGTCAAAATTACAAAATTTAAAGGAATAAAAGAGCACCATGTGATATTTACAGTACTATACCCATTGCACGATTCATGTCACAATTTTTTTTAAGAATCAAGTTCGAAATTGGTTCAATGATGCTACACTATAATTTCAAAATTGCAAAATTTTAAACTACGTCATTAACTCCACCTAAAAGAGAGATAGTAATAATTATAACCAAAATTTCATGATGCAAGAGATAAAAGAAACTGTGTGTGTGGCCAGAGAACACGATTGAAAAGACGTATGATTGGGTTTCTAATGATATTCAGTTGGCCCGTCGGCCCACTTTCTCCATCGTTAACATTGTCTAATAGTCTAACTGGGTCCAGACAAGTCTTCTTTTGTGGGCCGAAGGACTGTTTGGTGCCCAATTAGGGCATGTACGTCCAGTTCACATTTATTTACCTATATATATTGCATGCTATACATGGTGTCTGGTCGAGTAACATAACTACATAAGTGATTGATGTTGGATGCTTTAGTTGAAAAAACCACCTTGTTGGTCATACTAAATCCAGGTTGCTGCACAAGATTTTCGAATTTATGTAGTCTATAAGATTTAATTTTGATTGATTAGACTATTATTGTGTAAATTCAGATTTTTTTTACCATGTACACCATAAGATAATCGATGCATATTACTGATGGTAAGAAAGATTAATATTGTACATGTATATTTACCATGTATATGGGAAGATGACGGATGGGATCTCGATATTCCGCTAAAATTGACATTTTATCATATTTTCCTATATTTGAGTTGTTTTAAAGCGATATTCCCTTAGTCATGTTTGTTTTTATTTTTGTTTTAATTAATTGCTCCAATAATTGATGCAAAAATTGAAGTTAAATCTAGAAAGAATAGAAAAAATAGACAATTTATAAATGCCGAACAGAAATGTCGTTCGGTCTTTTTCTTTATTCACGGGGAGAGAATATTTATTCCTCTGATTTTTCTTACTATCCTCTTCTCAATAAAATTCTCTTGCAATTTATAGTGCAGTGGTTCTGAAAACTGAACCGGTCATCGAACCGGTGAAGCTACTAGTTCAATGGTTCACTGGTCGGACCAGTGGTCGAACCGGTTTGATTAATATATAATTTTTTATTTATTTTATATGTTTAATATATAATTATATATATTTTTAGAAATAATTTTATTAATTTTATAGTGTATGACATTTCTCTAAATAATAACTCAATAATAGATATAACCGACAATGTTGATTAATGTTTATATTTTTTATTTTATTTTATTTTTTATATTTAAAATTTTAATATATATTTAATTTATGAGTATAATACTGCTTGTAAGGCCCAATAATTTTACCAAGGGAACATATTCTCACATTGAAAACACAAGTAAAAAAGGTGTGTTATTTAAATCACTTCACAATCAACTAATTTCAAATTCAAAAGCTTGAACCGTTGAACCATTCGAACCGATCCCAATTCACCGGTTCAACTAGTTTTGGACCGATTCGAACGATGGGCGGTTTGATGGTCCAAATCGGACCGGAATGAAGGCCCGAGCCACGGCCCGTTGATTGACCACCTCCAAGCTTAGCTCAGTTCAGTTTATCTCATGGTCCTTCTTCCACCCTCAACGGGCCTTATTATGTATAGTTAGGCATGGCCGAAACTGGTTCTGGGCCTGGTTTTGGGTTTGAATTGCTGGTTCCTAGGGGTGGGATTTTCAAACCGGAAACCGGAAAACCGAGCCGAACCGAACCGAAATTATCCGGTTCGGTTCGGTTATTTTTTAAAAAACTAACATTTTCCCGGTTCGGTTATTCTTGCTGAAAATCGGTTCCCGGTTTTCGGTTTTAATTTTCTGTTGTTATAATTAACCGCAGAACCGGGAAAATTGTATATATTTATTAATTTATATATTATGTGGGCACCTGGCCCAACACATTACTTGGCCCAATCTTAAGTTTTATTAACTATTAAGTGGCCCAACCCAAATTCAATCCTTATTCGTTATTTACTTATTTAACTTATTAAATTAAACTATTTAACTGATAATTATTTACATTACAATTTATAATTTATGTACCATTTTCTTCTCTATTCTGTATTCTCGATTTCTTACAATATCATATCACTCTCTCTCCGAAGTCGACAGAAAAGTGAGAAAACCCTAAATGAATTCTCAGATCCTTTCATCCTAATTTCATTCAACCTTGTGCATTTTTTCTTACCTCGTATGGCTTCTCCTTCTTCTTCCGATAAAACCACCAGTGATCCCCAAAAATCAGACAAAGATCGAGATGAAAACGAGGGCAAAAAATTAGGGCAAAATAAAATACCAATGCCAAATTCAAAGACGAAGAATAAGAGGGCACGCGGCGAGCAAACCGAAGCCAAAAAGACATCATGGGTGTGGAAGCATTTTACTGTGGTGAAGAAACCATTGATGAGTAGAAACGAGGAGGGGATAATGGTCCAAGTTGGATTAACCAACCGAGCTCAATGCAGGTACTGTCAATCTGACTTGGCTTGTAATTCTACGAGAAATGGAACTAGCACACTTCAAAAACATTTAGAACTGCATTGTCACAGTTATCCGGGTAGTGCAAGAAATACTGATTCTAGTCAAAAACATTTTTCAAGAGATGGAGAGGGTAATGAATCGATTGTCACACACTGGACCCAAGAAAATTGCACTAAGGCAGCTGTTGAAATGATAATTATAGATGAAATGCCATTTAGTGCTATTGAAAAATCAGGGTTTAAAAGATTTTGTTCAGTTGTTGTGCCAAAATGGAAGATTCCTTGTAGAAAAATGGTGGTGAAACATTTTTTGAGCATGTATAATTCCAAAAAAGAGTGTTTGAAAGAGGAACTTAGGAATCATTGTGTTTGTTTGACCACTGATACATGGACCTCAATTCAGAACATAAACTACATGGTAATTACAGCACATTTCATTGATAGCAATTGGAATATGCACAAAAGGGTGCTGAACTTCTGTGTGATTCCTAATCATCAAGGAATTACTATAGGGAAGATTTTAGAAAAATGTTTGCAGGATTGGTCTATCAAGAAGATTTTAACAATTTCTGTTGATAATGCATCTGCAAATAAAGTGGCAATAGATTACATGAGAAGGAAACTAGGCAATGGTGAAAAACAACAGATTCTAGGGGGAAAGTTTCTTCATATGAGGTGCTTAGCTCATGTTGTGAATCTTATTGTCAAATCTGGACTTAAATGCATGGATAAATCAATTGCTTCTATTAGAAATGCTGTAAAATATGTGAGGAGCTCACCTGCAAGGTTGGAAACCTTTAAAGAATGTGTAATAAAAGAAGAACTTCAGAGTAGAAAGGTGTGTGTTTTGGATGTGCCAACTAGGTGGAATTCCACCTTTATTATGCTTGAAACTGCTGTTAAACTTAGGCAAGCATTTGAAAGATTGGCTGAAGAGGAGGAGACTAAGTATAAAAGTTATTTTGATGAGGATGATGAGGAAAATGAGGATGTAGAAGATGATGTTCTAGGGATTGACTTTGAGAAAGCACCTGATGAACCTATAGGAGGCCAAGAGGCTGAAATTATTAGAAAAAAGAAAGACAAAGGAGTGAGAGGGAAGAAAGTGGGGCCTCCAACTGAGGATGATTGGGAAAAAGTTGTAGCATTTGTCAAGTTTTTGAGAGTGTTTTTTGATGTCACTTTGAATGTTAGTGCTTCAAGCAAACCTACTGCTCACAAAGCATTCCATGATATTGTTTCAATTAAATGTGAGATTGAAGATATTTTTGATGCACCAATCACAAACCACAGCACAGATTATGAGAAAACATTGTTGCTTTGGTGTTAGACCCTAGGTTCAAGCTAAGATATTTCAGTAGGGTTCTTGAGAGGATGCTGAATTATGATGCCTTTACTGTAAAAGTAAGGACAGAAAGCTTGAAAGAGTTGATTGTTACTCTCACTGACTTATATGCTTCAATGAATGGTGTTCCAAATTCAAGCACAAAAAAGGCATATGGTGATGAAACTGGGAGTGGAAGCAGGTACTAAACATTTACTTTTCTGTTTTAATTTCATAGGTAATTAATTCCTTCATCTTGTTTCTAGTTTCATTTACTTTTATTATTTTATATTGTAGTTGTTCTTCAAATAAGCTGACGGGGAAGAAAGCAAAAATGATGGAAGATTGGAAAAAGGATCTTGAAGATGTTGGTGCTGTTGTAGTTGCTCATGAGGTAGACAGATACCTACTTGATCCAATTGAAAAGCCAGGGCCAGGAGTTGATTTTGATATATTGTCATGGTGGAGGCTAATGGAAGGTAAGTATCCTAATTTGCAAGCACTTGCTAAAGATGTGCTAGCCATTCAAGTTAGTACTGTTGCTTCTGAGTCGAGTTTTAGCACTGGGAAAAGAGTTATTGATCCACATAGGAGTTCATTAACTCCTAGATCAGTGGAAGCACTAATTTGCCTTCAAAGTTGGCTTAAGTCTGATGCAATCACAACCCTTGCATATACTCCTACCCCAGATGAAATTGAATGGCTTGAAAAAACTGAACAAGGTGAGTTTTATTTCACATGTATAATTTATGCAATCATTTATTTGATTAGTGTCATACTGTCATTGATTATTTATTTGATTTTATCTCCTTTCTTTTTTCTTTGTATTTTGGCAGAATTGGACCAAGAGGAGAGAGAGCATAGAGAGAAGTTGGATAAGCAAAAGGAAATTGAGTTGATTGAGAAGAAAAATAAAGTTATGAAAGCCTCCAAAGGCTCTGATGCAGCAAATTCTTCCAAAAAGAAGATTTAAAATGTAATCTGTCATTTACTCATTTAACTTTGATTTGAAATATTGAACTTGAAGTTTGAATATTGAAGTTGAACTATGTAACTGTAAGTCTGTAACTGTGTTTTGTTGTGGCTGTGGCCTGTGTGGACTGTGGATTGTGATTGTGACTGGGACTAGACTGGATTTTGGATGACTGTATGTGGATTATGAATGATGGATTGTGGTCTTTTGGCTTTGTAATTTGTATGTTGAATTTGATGAATGATGATGATGTGGTTTTGTGGATTGTGGTTCATCATTCATGATGATAAATTGATAATTTGTAGTTTTGTACAATTGTATTGAAGTTTGTAAGTAGTAACTATTGTTAATATTTCAATTTCCAGTTCTGGTTGGATGACATTATTTGATTATTTATGTTTTTTAAGAGTTAAGACTGAAGTGATCAAGTGAAATGAATTGAATTCTTATTACAAAGATCGGTTCCTACAACAAGAACCGGTTAATATCGGTTTTTTTCGTTGTGTTCGGTTAATTAAAGAACCGGAGGAACCGGACCGAAAGTGGTCGGTTCGGTTCTCAGTCGGTTCTTGATAAAAATCATAGGGAAACCGAACCGAAATTTTGCATGTTAGCCGGTTTTCGGTTCTTCGAAATTTTGTCAATAACCGGACCGGTCCCACCCCTACTGGTTCCGGGTTAATGGTTGGACAACCCTGAATCAACCCGAACATATGCACGGGCCGGTTCGATGAACCGGCAGTTCCAGGTAAAAAATTAAAAAATAATTAAAAAAAAAAGATTCGAACCGTCAATTCTAGTTCCGATTTGTAACTGACTTGGCAGTTCAAAAAGTATATACATAAGGCCCGGAACCAATTCGGCCCGTTGACCACGGGCCTCTTCCGAACGACGGGCGGTTCAAAAAGTATAATTTTGTCATTCGCTTAACACGGGTCTCTTTATGTAGTAGCCCAATACTTTGCACACATCTTATCTAGTAAAAAAAACTTGTCGAAAGTAAACTTAAAAGGATAATGACATATAGGCCATTTCTCCAACAAAATTCACTGCTGATCGTCACCAACTTGTTTATACGGGTTTGAGGACGGAAAAATTCAAATCAAACAAATTTTTGTTTTAAGAGTATTTGGCTAACTTGGTGTGGAGATATGGGAGCTGTTGGATTATTGGGCAAATTGATCAAATCATTAAGTGAAACACCTGCTCTTTTAAGTTTTAATGAATACACATTCATTCATAATAAAATATCACATTTTGAAAAATAAACATTAATACAATTGCAGAAATTTTCAAGCAAATGTGCATACTTTCAAATTTCAATGTTATTTTAGAGAACAATTTAAATAAGAAAATGATATATCAGATCATAAGTATGTAATTTCATTATATATTAGTGCGACCTATCGACGTGTAACGATTAGCCCGCTAACTTGTGAGAAAATGAATTGTGTTAAAATGGTGTAGGGGTAAGTTAACCATGCTAAATTGGTGGGCGGAATTATTATTATCTTTTTTAATCCAAAAATATATGAGAAATTGATATCATATACTCAGTTACTCTCACATAAAATGGGAACATCTTTTTGAAGTAATTGGGGAAAATAATAACATATAATTTTATTTTTTTTTAAAAAAAAAGGCCATGAAGAGGAAATCGGGTCTAACAGAGCTAGAAATGGGCGTAGTTTTTGAGCTGATCCAACTCAGAGGCGGTTACACAGGCGACTTCAATGTCCTGTGTGTCGATTTTCCAATGGAAAAATACGAATTGCGAGGCAAAAAATCGGAGGAACCATTGAGCTTAATCGAGCTGGAAATCAGCACAGCCGATGAAGCTTTGCCCAGGAGAAATAAACGGTTCAGATCACTTGCGGATATTTACAGAAAGACTCAGCCTTAGATCAAGAATGGCACCAAGAAGATTGGCCAGGTTTTGAACTAGATTTTCTTTCTTTCTTTGTGAGGAGTATGCATTGACCCATCATATAATGTTACAAGATATATAGAACATTGACATTTTTGCGGTTTGTGTGTTGTTAACAAATTTGGCTCGATAACGACGACAAATAACGACATTAATAACCCTAGTTATTAAACGAAATGAGCCGCTCGTGCATCCAGATTGGTTTTGTTACGGCTAAAAAATATGAATGTTATGTAATTTTATATAAATCAACGTGTTAATACTAGTTTTGCTTGTTAAAACTCAAGTCCAACTCACGAATATTGATACTAAGCCGAGCTACAACTCGTTTATTGACTTCTTAAAGTTCAACTCAGCTTGAGCTATAGCTCTAATATTAAAAGTTTGAATTTAACTTGATTTGTTTACACCTTAACTTTTTTTTTCTTTGGCCCGCCTCTGTCTAAACAATGTCGTTACAAATTAAATATTGTGTGATATTTTTTAGATTGAGTATTTTATTATTCATTCAAATTTTATTATTTATTCTCGATGCAAATTGACTAGTAGCAGGACAAGGCAAAATGGGTCTTCAAAGCCAAAGAAATGAAAATANAAAGGCAACAAAAAGAAAAGGTTGAAGAAAGAAAAATGAATCCTATAAAATTTCTATAACAGTTGACTCTTTGTTACATGAATTTAACCATTAAACCCATACCTCCATCAATATGCAATCTTTCCTAAGAAAATATCATACTGTAAAACATAATATTTAATAGTATAATTGTATATTTATATTTATAAAGTATATATAATAGTCAGACCTGTCTAATGGTGGTTATAGTGACTCCCTACAAATGTTATTATTGTTGATAACACGCATTGCAGCGTTGAATTTGATGAGCAACTTTAATTCTAGTTTTTATCACATTAGGGGGCGATTGGATATGATTTGAACAGTAAAAAAACTAATCAAAATTCAAATTGAACTCAACTTTAACACAACCCGACTATCTCCAATATTATCAATATAATTAAATAATATCAAACAATCATTCTTACACATCACATCAACTTTAATTCACTATTCATTCACTCACATAATTTTAACTAATCATCACTTCCAATCATTTTTCTCTTACTTTACATCAAATCAACTTTAATTATTTTATTTAAATATTATTTAATATATTCACTAACAACAAACTATTCTTGGTTTTTTTTTTCAAAACTAACTATAGTTAAAAAACAAATCAAATAAAAACTAGTTAAATCCATAAACAATCACACCCTAAACGTGTAATGTGGGCATAAGATTGAATATTTTTGCGGGGGACCAGTGATGGTTGCTGCATAATGCTGCAATTAATAAAATAAGTTTTTAATCTATTGTGAAATCTGTATTCAAATGAAGATGGATCTTTCTCAATCTTTATTTGAGTGGTTAAGCAGAGATATCAAAATGAAAAGAAAGAACAATACAAGCTCTGTACAATAAATAGTATAACAATCCGCTCAATATATTGTCCCAAGTAAATAGGTAAGGGACAAGTAATAACCAGTGATTAGTTATAGGCCTCTCTNCACATAGGAGACCCAACTAGTGTTTTTTTTTTATCAAACATAAAATATATTAGATAAAAACTCAAATGTACAAACACAGTACGAGCAGCCAAAAGGCTACAGCATATCTCGGTTAACATTGAATTACCGAAATAGGCGGGGAAGACTCAAGAAGAGCCGACCTGAAGGACCAAACATGGCCGCACTAAACATAACAACCACTAAGAACACTAAAAAGAAACAACATTTAAACATAGTTCACAAGCACATAAGCAGAAAATAAAGAAAGAAAAGACTGAATGTCATTTACTAGGATAGCACAATCTGGAGAGCATTGATCTTTTCCAGCCAATATCTGATGTAAGTCTTTATCTGTCACTGTGAGCACAACTTTCTGCCAACCAAATGCAAGTCCTTCTTCCAACCAAGCTCGAATTTGCAGCAGTGATGTATCTCTTGGTTGATGTTTGGGAACCTGCAATGATTTTAGACAGCTGGCCACCTCCATATTGTCTGAAAAAGCTATGCCTGTAGCACAGAAAGCATCTGAAGAAGATTCATTAACACTGGTAGCTTGAGGAAGCTGCCCTATTCCTTGAGTCTCTCCAGAGCTTGTGAGTGCAACAGAAGAAGCTACCCTGGGTTTTTGCTTAGAACTGGCAGCTGTGATATTTTGAAATTCTAGCCATTCTCTCCTAGCACCTTCAACAAGCTTTAGCTCAGAAGTAGGCTCTCTGTCAAACAAGCAAGTGTTTCTCGTTTTCCACAACCACCACAATATGTAAACTGAAAGTGAGATCCTGTCCTTGTTGTGGGCTGAGTTTTTCAAGCAACAGAGATTGAACCACCAGTCAGTAAGAGTTGTGCTCTTGTTCATTAAGCAATCCCAAGATAGCCCAGCTAGTTTCCACACAATTTTGGCCCTATCACATTGGAACATGAGATGCTCTAGAGTCTCTTCTTCTTCATCACACCAGCAACAGTTGCCATTAATGTCCAATTTCTTCCTCCTCAAAGCACTGCTTGTACCAATCCAGTTGTGTAGACATCTCCAAAGGAAGTTTCGAAGCTTTGGCTTGATTTGGAGTTTCCAAATTTTGTTCCAAATTTTCTTGTCATTTGCTTTTCCTTTGCTGGACTCAGCTTGCTGTGACTGACTGAGCTTTGATTGCAAAATTGCTTGATAAGCTGCTTTCACTGAGAATAAACCTTTTTTATCTGTGTGCCAGATGAGTCTGTCTTTGTTGCCAAGATGACTAACATGTGTCTGTAGAATCAGAGTAGCATCCATGGGATTAAATGTTTGTAGTATAAGTTCAGTGTCCCATGCAAACTTCCCTGCAACCAAGAGGTCAGAAACTCTGTGAAGATTTAATCTGTCAGATTCAAAACAGCAGTTAGGCTTAAAACCATTGGGTTTGAGTAGCCATGGGGAGTCCCATATTTTTATAGACTGTCCATTTCCCACCTGGTACCTCATTCCCAGAGCTAGAGAGTTCCTACAGTCTCTCAAATCCTTTCCATATAATCATTAAGTACAACAAATCAAATGATCTTTGGTGGCAATATTTTGATTCTTTTGAAATGGAGAGAAGGGTTTTTTCGTTTGTAACCATGTAAGACTAGTCTAGAGTCTAGACTCTAGTTAGTCAGTCTTCAATCCAGGAAGATAGAACATACATATATTTGCCTGTTATGTGTTCTTAATAAATTTGGTGTCCCAAAAATAGAAAAAATCAAATCTACTATCATCAATGGATCTTTACTGTCGAATAGTTGGATTTTTATCAACACACTCATATAATGTGTTTAAGTAAATGTAATGGTAAAAAAAACCTCAGCCAGGTCAGATCGAATTTGCCCCAAAAATATCCATCCAAAACCTGATCAATTGACACCTTTTAGTAGGCTCCCCATACCCTTATGAGCCTGGTAATTCTATAGTTATTTGTGTCCAAGTCTAACTGCTCAAATCATAATAAACCAAGCTCCCAAATTTAGAACTAAAACATTAACAAATTAATAACTCAATTGACTTTAGGAGAGCTATATCTTATCAAACTGCATTGACATTTAACTCCTTTTTTTCCTTCCAAATTTTTCCCCAGTGCCAGAAAAATTACAATCTGCAGGTCTTGGACAAAGCAAGCAAAACCATATCCTCTGGCTTTCTCTTTAGCCAGAAGCCATAATGGATTCTAAAATCCCATTATATGCACATACAATACAAAGAATATACATCATGAACTTCATATAAAAAAAGAAAAAGAAAAAAAAGGTGAAATCGACTCCATTTTCATCTTGATCACACATCCAATACCGTCGACCTCGGCCGAGAACCTTCCGGAATCCTCGGCCCCTGAATCTTGGCACCGACCTCAGCCACGACCAGCCTCGTCAGCAGCAGCCCCGCCACCAGGGCCGCCCCCATCAGCATCGTGAACACAGCACTCCAACTCTGGGCCGAGATGTAGCCCGTCAGCAGCGGGCCCACAGCTGCCCCAATCGAGCCCGTTCCATCTATTATAGCCGTGACCGTGGCCAGGGCCCGCGAGTTCCCCTTGAGGCTGCTGTGGGTCCCGAGGTCAGCCGAGACCGCTGTCGTGATAAGTGCATAAGGCCCATTCACAAACATACCCGTCACTAGCATAAGTACCACATTCAAGGCCATGGACACGTGGCCATAGCTTCTGTAGAAGAAGAGTGCCGGTATTGCACAGTACATGAAACTGGCGGCCGTTATGGCTCTAGCGTCCAGCCTGTCCGAAATGTGTCCCGCGAGAATTCCCCCAATTACCCCTCCGACATCAAACATCGTTGATAAGTTCCCGGCCTCCTCGTTCGACAAGTATCTTCCTTCAATAGCTGCCGGAACAAGAATAGGAAAAAAAAACAATCAGCTAATAATTTAACAGGAAACTGAATGTAATCAAGTAAAATTGGAAAAAGATCGAGTATATACCCGTGTGGCTAATGTAGAACGGGAGCCAGTAAAGGAAAGTGTACGCCACCAATTTCGAGAAGAAAAGGCACAGCGAAAAGGGGGCAACACCGGGAATCCTCCATGCCTCCAAAAACCCAACGGCGTCCCTTTCGTCGGATTTCGACCTCAAAAGAGGCTCGGTTATAATCTCCTCACCTTCCTTCTTGGGTGACATCAGCGGCGAATCATCTTCCTCGTCCAAGCTGACATCAACAGACTCGGGACTAACCGGCAAGAAACAGAAGAGCAATAACCCGACAAAGGCAATACCAAGGCCAGGTACCACCATTGACCAACCCCAACCGTATTTCAACAAAACCGATGCAACTACGGAGCCAGTTATGTTGCCTAGTGAAGTGTGAGCGTTCCAAATACCCATTATAAGCCCTCTCTTTTTCTTCCCGAACCAGTTGCCGACAACGGCCACAACCGAGGGCCAACCAGTCGACTGGAACAAACCAGCCAGCATTTGGGCTAATAAATAATAGTAAAATAAATGGATGTTGGCCCAATACCCGACCCCAAATAGGGAAGTGAACAAACCGGTACCAACCATTCCTATAGTGAGAAATATCCTAAGGTCCATTCTGTCTCCTACGTGGCCCGAGAAGTACATTCCCATTGCATATACAAAGAGGAAGGCCACATCGAGCACGCCTAGCAGAGTAGTTCCGTCGGGCCCGTTAAACGGGCCCCACCCAGATCCAAGAACCCATGAGTTGCTGAGTTTTGCAGTCTCGAGGGGCTTTTGTGAGTAGGCCCTGGTCCATGAGAAGGGTGATTTGAGCTCGATGTCTGGGGATTGTGGGTCGAGCGCGCTCTTGACGACGCTTGTGGTTTTACGGGTGGCGTGGTAGGTTAAGTAGGCGAAAAAGGTTACGATTAGGACTGTGGCTTGGTGAGTCTTGTACGAGATTTTCGACTTTTTTAACTGCTCTATTAGTCGGATTCCAGGGGGCTTGCCGTGGTTTGGCGCCGGGGATGGTTCTGTGATGGATCCCATGTAATTGGGTGGAGAACAGGGGATTTTGGAGAGCCTGCAGGAGGAAAGATATTGCAGAAAAATTAGGTAAATTCATCAACTAAAACTGTGAAACGATAATAGATTTACTTGAACATTCA